CATTCGAACACAGGATAGCAAGATTGCTAAACAAGACTGCTACCACAGCGCCACCACATCACACAGCACTGGAGAGTATGTTTTTGATATTTGAAGTTATTATTTTTTTCTCTCTCTTTCCTGAAAACAATCATACTAAAATTCAAATGCAAAAAATCATCTAATAGGTCTTGCTCAACTCACCGTCGCTCCCCACAGCCCAGGCTATAATGGGGCTCCTGCAGTTTGCCCAAGACAAGGGCATGTTGGGCGTGTAGCACTGCTGCCCCTCGACCTGGAGCCACTTCTCGTAGTGCTTCTCGCTCTCAGGCAAGTGGCACTCGTACAGGATTATGTGGTGGACATGTTCTATGTTTTCGATGATGGGCACATACTGAAGAAGCAATAATAATGATCATAAATAGCGATAATGAGGAGTAGGATGAAAACAGTGATAGTGTCAATGTAGTAATAAGAATATAATAATAAACATAACAATAATAATAATAAGTAAAACGGTGTGTTTTAAAAAATGTTTTATACTTCACATTCTGCATAGCATAACGTTATAAATTCGTGAAAAATATATTGGCTAGAAAAGTAATAAACTGTATTAATAAAGACTTTCAGAATAGGACGAAATTGAATGCTTGCATTATATATATTGTTTTATTACAGTACTACTTCACTTACCCCGATAATGTGTGTCTTGCGCTCGAGAGGAGGTGCCTTGAACATCTGGCACCAGTATACAGTGTCTACTTCACCTGATACGCTTACCTGTGAGAGAATTAGTGAAATTTACGATTAAAGCTGTCTATTTTATGAGCTTAATTATTCTGTGTAATCTCTCTCTCTCTCTCTCTCTCTCTCTCTCTCTCTCTCTCTCTCTCTCTCTCTCTCTCTCTCACTCTCTCTCTCTCATACACAGAAACTGTAAACCTGTTGTTAATTTGAACCAACCTCTTTTAATTGAACCACTGGTTTTTATGAATATTATATATTTGTCTTTCCAAATATACCAAAAAGAAGGAAAAGAAATCATATCTACACTGACAAAACAATTCCCCACATTACATCACCTAACTTCCACAAACCACACACGAATCTATCTTTCTAAACTACAACAAAAACTTTGAAATACCTACGTTATTCATGCGGACTTCCCAGGTGAAGACGTCATCGCCGAAGGCCGGGAGGACGAACTGGGGCTCCTGCAGGAAGATGCTCTTGGTCCCGCGGTGGTCGTGCTTCGTCATCGCGTACTCGGTCACGGGGTCGTCGTACGAGTAAGCCCAGATCACTCGCATGGTGTCGCTCTGGGAAAAAAGTGGCGTCGTCATGTGTTTGTCTGGTTGCAGTACTTGTATAAAATTCTTGGCATTATCTGTCCCATATAGTCTATGTTTCTTTTGCTTTGGACTTTAGCTTTCTTTCTAAAGCATTTTTTTATAGCTGATACTTTTTTATAATTTATTACAAAGATTATAACATAGTGTATTCTCTATATTACCCTTTTTTATTTGAGTTTATCTCTCAGTCCTTTACGTTCTCTCTTTACTGCAATTAAATACCGCTTTACACAGCCCATTCTTTACAATCCTTTCAAATAACAATATTTCCTAATTCAGAGCGACAAATGTAGAAAGGGTATGAATGAGAATGGAAATTTTCACGATTTATTAGACTGGTTTCGATTACATCCTTGTCAGAAATACATGAAATTCGTGTATTTCTGACGATGTAATCGAATACATCTTGTGTATTCTGAAGATATCCATTCTCCATACCTTTTCTTCCATTTTTTCTGTCATTACAATCATTTGTAAGCACTTACTGTTATTTGGAAATCGTGTTCCTTATCGCACGTGTTCCAGGGCCTCGCGAACCTCAGCACGGTGTGTGTGTCGTTCTCGTAGCCTCCGAGAATCTCCACGTCTTGCGAATCGTCTATGATAGGAATCATCATACCGCTGGCGTAACGGTCCTGTAGGAGAGATGAAGTCACTATAAGGGAAAGCCGCTGCACGATACAGCACATGAATCTCTACACCATACATATCAGCACATTAGCTAAACATCAAACACTATTATGCATAATTCCATATTACTTGATTTGCTGCCTGAACAGGCTACATTGCCAATGCGTACCAGCATACTTCTTATACTGAGGAAAAGTTATCAGAGGTAATTTGTGGCATAAGTAATATATAAAGAGCCATTGCGAAGGACTCTCGTCTCCTCTAATCTTTCTTTTCATCTTTTTAACACAAATATACACTCAGCTATGTGTATATAGATGTCTACATATATAAGTATATGCCTACATACATAAATGTGTGAGGGAAGGGGGGGGGGGTATGTATGTGCTTTAAATAAATATAAATACATATACACACACAAACACGTGTGGAATTCATGTTGATCAAATTGCAAACAGACCAATGAAGGGAAGAACAAGAAAACAGGGCATAGTATCTAATTATATACTATTACAGAGTTGGCATATCTCAGTGGTGGA